ATGATGGATGTAATATACATGGCAAATGATATAAATGCTTTGATTTGCATATTCAAACGTCCATGCATTTGTGCACACGCCTGTAGATTTCGACGAATATTTAAAAAAAAGTAAAATACAAACATTTGCTATCATCACAAAGTAATTTATGTATGACGTCCTATTGTTTAATTTCGTTATCTGAGGCATTATTTACACAAGTACATACACACATGTAAAAACAATTTATAAAGTGCATGTACATAAGGGAATACCCTACCATCACTTGTCAAAATGACAGAATATCCCCGTATCCTTAGAAACTAATATTATGGCTGTATGTGCTTATAAAACTCAGTAAATTTCGAAATCAATTATTCCAAAACTTGCTTGAAAATGAAACAAGACTTGGGACTTAAATTTAATTCTATAATTAAATTTGAAGTTTATAGTTTCTGTTTTTGAAACATAGTAATTCCTGTGTAGCAACGGAAACATATTTTTAAATTAGTAAATTTATAATATTTTTGCTCTGTAGATTTGCATTGAGCACTGTTTTGTAAAAATAAAAATAATTAATAAGAATAACGAATTATATATCTTACTGTTGTTTCTCTTTATTATAATATATATATATATATATATATATATATATATATATATATATATATATATATATATATATATGCTTTTAGGTATGCTATAATTAGGGGTTAAAATGCAAAATATAAGCGTATGTAAACGTGAAAGTGGACATTGATGTCAACACTCAGCGGCAACAATCTGTTTCAGGCTTAAGCGTATTCCTCAGGACATGATAATTTTGTTTACGCATGAAACAGACTCTCGGCGCTGGAGGTTGACCTCAGTGTCCCCCGATCTGAAAAGAAGATCCTGGGTAAAAAAAAAAAAACTCCATCTAGCTGATCTTACAAGACTTTTTAAAGAGCGTGTCTTACTTGGCAACCCATGATTTCGTTTGTGATTTGGGACGAGAATTAGACTTTCACAAACTCATCGAAAATTTTGCTTCAATAAAAGTTCGAAAAATTCAGTATTAAGCTGCTTCGGAATTGCTATTCATCTTCGTATTTTTTCAATAAAATACCTAATTTTACTCTCTACCTTTTTGTAAAGAAGACCTCTTTCTAAACCGCTAAAATGTAATTTCTCGAGGACCGGCACGTTTCTGCCGGCTGTCTCCAATCTCTCCGCTACTGGTTACTCGTTTCAAAGCCAACATAGTCAACTGGTAGTTTATACTCAAACTATGCTGCGCGTTACTTAGAGTTTCAGCGGGAGACCTCAGAAGTTGACGTGGCAAGCAGTTTGATCTGTCGTGGTCAGCAGTGGGATCAAGACCAATACGTACAAAACCTCATTCTAGCACAACTGTCGACAGATTTTGAACATTTCCGTCTGCTCAATTTCACTCACAAGGCTGGAATCTACCAGTTACATGGAGGATTTCATGCAGTTTCCTACGGAACCTCACGTTACGAACGCCAAAATCAATGACGTCACCTCCCTGGCGAATCGACCACAGCGACATTCGAACCCCGGCAGAAAACAAATGTTCTAAACTTGGCCACACATCCATATGCATATATGCATGCATAAATACGCGCCTGCACTTGCACACACACATTTATGCATAAAGATAGAAACATCTCCCTCTCACTAGGTACACAGACACACACGTCGCGTGTGCGCACACACATGATTTTAGCAATAGTTAAAAAAAATAGTTAGAACAAAATAATTCTCTTTATTAAAATAATCTTTCAAAAATAAAATATACTTTTGCGAAACTTTATTTTAGCAAGATTAATTGATTTAAAGTTACTCTAAGTTAAATTTAAGTTTAAAATATCGCAAAATAAATTATCTAACAGAGATGTCTGTGTTTTTATTACAACTATCTCAATAGAACTATGTTTTGGATTTTTTCTACAAGGGGCATATCTCTAAAAATTACTTGACGAATAAAACCTGAGCACCATTTTATTTAATTTTTTAACTAGCCAGTAATCTTTAAAATATAGTAAAATATTCTAAATAATCTAATATTTTATTTAATTTAATTTCTTTGGCATTAAAATTACTAAATTCCACCTATTATTTTCAGACAGGGTCATGTGCATCCGTACTTACAAAAATAGACACGCTTATACTCTCATAAAAAAAAAATTCAAAATTATTTTTAAAATATGGATGACCGCTGTATTTTAGCAGACTTTTCCAGTTATGATTAGTAAACTTAGATTTTATTTAATAACAATATGACAACTGCTACAAATTAAAAAAAAGAAATTTAAAAGATTTAAATCTTTACAAATTATTTTAATTAAAAATTGAAAAAAACTGAAAGCAATACTTGCAAAAAATCATTATTCAAAGTATTTCTTACGAAAACCGTTTCCTAGCAACAACAAAGATTTTGAAGATAACAATTTATTTTTATTAAGTTTGGAGCATTTTTGCAACCATGTATGTTCATTAGTTAGCGAAGATTTGAAGGTACCTTTATATATATATATATATATATATATATATAGAGAGAGAGAGAGAGAGTGTGTGTGTATAAAAGAACGAACAGTGATGGCGATAATAAAATTGTGCTCGATGTAACAAAACAGAGCTAAAATTTCATATGTCAAGCAGCTATCTTAGCAGTAGTTTATAAATATTAATATGTAAATTTTATGACAGTTTTCATTCTGTACATGACAATTACCACGAGAGTTGTACCAGAGAGTCAGAACCGAAATGTATAATGTTATATTTATTAAAGTAAATATATATATATATATATATATATATATATATATATATATATATATATATATATATATATATATATATATATATATATATAATCACTACAAAAATAGCCATTTTGTTTCAACACCTCTGGTGTCTTATCAAGAGATGATGTTGAAAGTAGACTGTAGATTCTACAATCTACATTCAACATCATCACGTAGAGATTTTATAACATAGTTATGTTATAATTTTTAAATGAATAATTATATACTACGCTCTACTATGAATTGAGCACTCTTTTTAAGAATTGTAATTGTTGGTTATTGAATTTATTCCGTATAGCCCAATCATATACTTGGATATATATATATATATATATATATATATATATATATATATATATGAAATGATATGCGCTAAGTCTTCTTTAATGTAAAATTTACATTTACCAAGATTGTAATAATGAATAATTGATTGATTTTTTCCGGCTATGAACCATTTGCGGGTTATTAATTAAAATATTTTTCAGACTGTGAAAATAATTATTAATTTTTGAGAGTGATTTAACATTAACAATTTCTTAAGGATAACAATGATTTTTACCGATAAAATGGCCTACTATTTAACCATAGTTCGTAGAAAAGGTGATTTCATGCCTTTTCAAATGTTATTTGCGCCAAAACGAATGTAACGAAACGAAATTCGACCTCGCTCTCAGATTTCTCGTCAATTGCACCCTCCGCACATCTGTTTTACAGTGAAAACTGTTCATTATTGACATAAAGCCATGTATCAAATTGAGAAATTACATAAAGCTTTATATGCACATGAAAAATGTATATGCTTACGAATATACACTATTTATATTATTCGGACTATTGTCCTCATCTTTGTCGCCATGTTTATCACAATGTTTCGGCCGTTGTACGCTCCGGCCTTCTTCAGGTGGTTGGAACAAAAACAGTCTTCTCCAGTGAGCAAAATAAAGGGTTCCGTCCTACATTCCAACCACCTGAAGAAGACCGGAGCGTACAACGGCCGAAACTTTGTGATAAATATGGCGACAAAGATGAGGACAATAGTCCGAATAATGTAAATCGTGTACATAATACCTAATCTCAGAAATATAGACCGATGCTAAGGAATATATTCGGAATATTAAACAATGTTTCTGACATGAATCAGAATTTACATCCACTAAAAACATTATACGAATAATGAAAATGATATTATACCTTTGATTTCAAAGCAAACTTTAAGACATAATTTCGCCTTGTACATCTCCTAGAGTTGAAGAAAAATCAGTTTAAAATTTTCATAATGTCTCTTTGATGAAAGGAAAGTAACGAATCTATAAATGACAGAATAATTTTTTTCCTTTGCATAGTCAGTGAATCTTTATTTTTTATAAATTGTTCAAAAGGATTTTCTTTAGTTTCTAAATTACAGGAATTGGACAAAAGAATTGATGCTTAATATGCAACTTACCAGTTCCAATGGAATCAAAATTAAAAGCACAAAAAAAAATCAAATCAATATCGAATAGGCTGAAATCAGCTCGATACGAAACCTCAAGCAATATCAGATAATCTGTAGTTGGACAAAACGGATTTGCGTCTCACGAATTATTGGACAGCAAAACAAAATCGAGGCTTCCAAACTGGGACGATCAGTGAGTGCGTCTCCTTATTAATTACCGACATTCTGTCAAAATGGTCGACATAAAAAAATGGAGGTAAGTCGATGAGAAACACCTAAATTGTAGGTAAATCTCCAATTACTGGGGAAAATGAATGAAAACCAACTTAACGACTCGGATGTAGAATTTATGTAAGCTGAACCCCAAAATAGCCGGCAGCTGGATGTACGAACAAAATGAAATTGCGTAAGAGCGAACGTTCTGCAGCAGGGAAGCTCGTTTATCATAACGCTCGCTCAGTAAATGCTAATTAGGAGATTAATTCGCTAATATCTCATTAAGAAAAAGAAATACCGTTTAATATTCTCATAGGCTAAGGAAATGTAACGTAAATATAGTTTGGACATAAGCGAATTCCACAGTAATTTTCCTAAATACTACTACTACTACGAATAATAATCTCTTTGCTCCACAATACACCTTGATATCTGATATTATTAGGAGTGTGTATGTGGCAACACTGCTTGGAACAGCTCATATGATGAGAAAAATATAGTGTCTTTAAGCTGAGATATTACTATCATCAGCAGACCAAAACATCTGAGACACAGAGAGAATATAAAATAAGAATAATAACAATATAGTACCTCTGACAATTTTATGGGATTTTACAATAATCACAGA